GCAGCTGACCCGTATAGCCTCTACTCATTGGCCCTTCGGGTATTATTGGATCTATGGCTGTTAGTAGCTATCCTGTTTAGCTCGCACGGTCATGGAGACACGCAAACCATCACACCACGTGATAGTTCAGTCTCCGAGTTAAATCAAACTGAGATTTTACCTGGTGCTCCGCTACCTTTCTAGTTTTTTTAATACAGAATTTCTATTTCCTCTTTGGTTCTGTAATGTGTTGTAATCTGCTGTCGGTAATTAGCGATTGCTTGGTGTCACAGTGATATGTATCGTTGTCCCGTTGGTCGTCAGATGGACAAATGGCCCAATGGTCAAGTGATCGAATTTTGTACGCTGATCCACCGACTACCCGTTCGGTCAAATCATCCGCACTGTCCTCCGCAACCGGTGTGGTGGTCGATACTACAGAACAGCCATGGCATATACGTCCTACTCAGCTATACCGTAGTCAATCTGGACAGGGTTCTGAAACCAAACAGACTCCTAGTCGAAATGCTAGCGTTTCACGGTTCGAAGCAACCACGACACGGACCCGCGATATCCTCATCCCAGTCTCAACTCGACCATCTTTTCGGAGCAGCCAGTCACGTCCTCGTGTGCTTCGGGTGGACAGTTTTGGACAGCCATTAGGCAATAACGCCACGGAAAGTGCATCATCACGATCGAATCAAGAACCAAGTCAGGTAACTAAATTTGATACCTTCGCAACTCCTGTTTGTTTAATTCTTGTCGGTTACTATTTTGCTGCCTAATCTCTTTAGCTTTCGGATTCATTTCTTTGTTTCCTTGATATGTGTTTGGCTCCTGAACTGCAGACACTTGTACCCAGGAGCGTGTTTCGGTATTCTAAGCTTACTGTGCACAAATTCACGAAGGGCATAATCCGTGTCCAGTACGGACAAAATTATTTTTCATTCTTATGGGTTCAGACAACAATAATAGGGTTGTACACGTTCACGCAAAACGCATGCCGTCTTTATTTTGTTTCATCTTTGAATTGGTACTCACACGATCACTTCAATATTGCTGCAACTACACCGTGACTTTTAGATTATTAGTAACTGTTGATAATTGTCAATTATTTGAAAGTTGACTCGATGTTCATGAACAAAACAAAAAATAGGTGAGCATGAAAAGTTGCAGATATTCATCATAAGCACAGGTTGCAAACTTTTTAGTTGTGTTAACTGGTGAGATATTCATGATTTCGGACGCCGTATCGATTCCTCTACGAGTGTGGTTGTTGATTTTTAACGTCGCAAATGGACGTTGAACTGCAGTGTCTACTTTGAATATAGTATGAAGGCAGAGAATACGTTGAACTTCCGCGAATAAAGGGTTATCCCTCGTTGTACTCTTTGGTGGTGATTGCTTCAGTATTCCTAGTCAAAATTTTTCGGAAGCTTCAAGTGCAATGAAAGTGAAGTGGAGTTAACATTCTCTTCCGATTTTCCACAATCAATCTTGGGGTTTGGATCCTTCGTACCACTTGTTAAATTATAGCGTATGGATAATCCGAGGAAGGTACACAGAGTGCTGCACGAGGTTGGGGTCATTAGTTAGCTTCCTGATATCTTAACTTATCTGCAATAGCCGTTTTTAGAGTTTTGTTTCATGGTGTTTATCAGCTTCGTTCAAATTTCACTATCCTAGAAATTTACACAAGAAGATCGACTATTTAAATTCCTCTTCGGTCCTAAATCGGGTGTACCTTCAGGTTCGCGTATTCACGATTGTAATGAGCATGGATGACTTTAATGCTGAAAATTCATCCTGTCGGGTGCATAAAGCTTTGCTTGACTTGACTTGACTTCCAATGTTCCGGTTTATTACCACGCCTGATCTGACATGGCCTAATTTGGTTGGCCAATCCAAGTACGGGGCTAAAGTTACCGGTTCCCGTCACTGAATGGCAAGTCTTCCTAACTATGGGGTCCATCCCATCTGCTGTTCATCACACAGGTGCGTCATAAAAAATATTCCTGCTAACCCCTGAACTGTCTCGTCAAAACTGAAGTCCCGAACATGTGGCCATGAACATACTGGTAAAGCTCTTGCACTCCTCTGTGCCCACTTTCTGAATCACCAGTCAGATTTTAAAGATACTATCTTTGTAGGCAAACTCAATTCAAAAATGATGCCAGACTCTGTCTCATAAGTGAATTCAGTGAAACTTCGTGTGATTACTTCCATGGCCTTGAGCTATCTGGTACATGATGAATTTTAAGTCTCAATTTAGTGACCGCAACGTGGGTTTCATCAGTTTCGCACAAGATGCCTCACAACTGAGTCCGGTGATATTGGAGAACGGACTGTAAGTTTGCGGCGGAATCGGACACAGATAACTCATTTCCGTCGTAACGTTGCACGTTTATTTTTGTTTTACTTCATAAATTGAATGGCCAATGATTTGCTTCCACTCTGTTTGTCATTTGTCTAGTACTAAACTGCAGGTAGGTTTTCATCTAGTACCGGTCTAATACTAATTTCTTCGTCAGTTTCACGTATCTAACCGAGTTTTTTTTCAATAACTGCTCATGTTTCGCTTTCTGTATCGTTGAGGTGGGCCTGGCTTTTTTGTGGTACATTATGTCAGGAGAAGCCTAACCATCCAATTTGCGTTGCAAGTGGATAGGGGATCAGCCGTCACCGTGAGAACGTGTCGGCGTTTTCTCGATGGTACTGGATGCGTAGGAGTCAGAATAACGCAGATTATTGTCACCCGATTTGTGCATTTCCTTCATCCCCGCCCACGTAACCCCCATTCCGAACAAACTTCTAGACAGTGGTTAACACCATAGATGCCACTCGCTTTCTTCCTTGCTCGACCCACGTTTACTTAACACTGCTGATAAAGGTAAGCACTGTTTCCAACTGTCTTTCAATTGGGATCTCTGGGATATACATCTTGAGAACAGGTTCGGGACCTAACAAAATGGCAACAGGAAAATCGGAAGTGTGAGTAAATTCTTCGCAGATCGGTTCCATCGCCCGTTATTGCAGAAACTAAAACAGATGGAAACTCAACTGAAACTGATCGAATCCTTAACCTGCAAACAGCAGATTCAGTTTCGCGTGAATTTCAGTCCAGCTCTACCAAAATGCTTGTCTATTCAATCACTGAATTCAACCATAATACTGAAGCTGGCCACTGATGCTAAACAAGCGAAGAGCTTTTTGGAATGTGTTCTTACAATATGCGTTACATCCCTGATTTTGTTTCAGTTATTGAACCCTTGTGTGCACTGACCAAAACGGGCGTTACGTTCTACTGGGGAACCGAGAACTAACATGCCATTCGCGCACTAAAACAAAAAGTATCATCTCTTCCTATCTTGGCTATTTTTGATCCAACCTACGCTACAACAGGCGCTTTCAGACTGGGGCTGGGAGCAGTTCTTTCACAAATGCAACATGGCCCGGGAGGATGACTGCTTACGCCTCAAGGAAAATAACAGACTCGGAAAATAATTATTCAGCTGGAGAAAAGGAGGTTCTTGCTTGCGTCTGGGCCTGTGAAAAATGGCATTTATTCCTTTTTGGCAATCCCTTTACACTACCTACTGATTATTCATAATATTCTGATACTTTTTGATCTACCTTGTCTACTGCAGCGTGACTAAAGTTTGTGCGTTGAGGCTAAAAGACTATGGGTCGTAGCTAAAGCATTGCGGATTTTGGCTAAATGATTGTGGGTCAAGGCTAGAGGACTGCGCGTTTTGACTAAAGCTTAATTGAGAAATGTGTAGATTGTGGTGCGCTTTCTTAGCACGTGATAAAACCCTATGAATCGGGAGTCGCCCGTCATGCACGTAAGATGTAACCTGTTGATCAGGGCACTCTATCTTAAATTTTAACTGTTGCGGTGTGTTAGTCAATAAATAGGCTCTTCTGTCGTCAATAATCACATTCAAAATGGTGAGCAACACGCTTTGGTGTACACGTACGATCTTCCGTTGTTCATCAACTCCGTACTTCTCGATTCTTCCATCGAATGCCTCAGGACCAGATTGGTGAAATCGATATTCACTGAAAATTCTGGGAATTCTCCCATACCTGCTCCGTCTCACAATCAAGGCAAATAATCACTTTTGAATCGGGCTGATATTTGCTTCTCTGAATGAAACTACCTATATCTATTATGAAGCCTACTTACTATTTTGCACCTCGCTGATATTTCTTTTCTGGTATGATTCCGGGCTTTTGTGTGTTGTCTATTTTTAGAAAAGCAACCCACTTAGCATTTGGGTGTTTGTTAATTCCAGGATTTCATCCCCGGCGTTGTCGATGGATCAACACTATCATTTGTACTCCGCAGACTTGGAACAGCACTAGAATACTCCTTAGCTTTTTACGTCCGGTTGCCTTTGTCCTTTTTAATGATAAGTTGTAGAATTAGTTCACTTGTCCTCATTGCATGACTTGTTTGGCATCTGCTAGTCTCCACGTTCTGTGTGACCCGATCATTTATCGAACCCGAGTAACTATCGCCATCCTCACAAGGTCCAAGAATACTGTTCTGTAATGTCACTCTTGATTTCACCTATCCCTTTTCTGTACTTAGATGTGGTCACGTTGCTAATCTAACTAAGGTAACTTGACATTTTGACCTGTGTTCCACTCCATCACCATTACACAACTATGGTATCCATCCCATTCATTTGTGTTCTCGCGGTGCCCAATGCATACACCTACCATCTTTTTTTTATCAAATCATAACCACTTGAATTTTGTCCGTGTTCACACATACACACCCACAAAGACACCCATTCGTTGATCTCCACACGGCGCCGTCATGCGAGTGCATACGTTCACCGTTGCTTACGCTTGATAAGCGGTGATGTTACACTTGTGTTCTTTCACTTTTGCGACAAATAAGGCATGATCTTCAGTTCACTTTGTGTCACCTAACCCGTTGATCTCTTACTACACGGTATGTTGTGTCTGCATGCTTTTCTGTCGCACCTGAACGCATTGCAATGAAGTGACACTAGTTTAGGTCAAATTTATTACTATTGTAATCTTATCTGGAATTTTCCTTTTTATTCTGAATGCCCTCCGAATAGCCTCCCCCCACCCCCAACTTCACATCCAAATACAGACGAATAATGTCCAAGTTCAATCTGTTCATGATGTTTCCGGTTTTCGACTTCCCCAACATTTGATTTCAATTGAGTATGGGAAATCTCTTTACTGGCATATTTCAGTCATACGAATGGAGCTGCCAGGAGGGGGGCAGTGATATTAAATACGAATTATGCTCTGATTTCAGTTGTAGCCGTTTCTGTTGTGACTTCGTCTCTCTCGATTGAGATATCACCTCTTCCACGTGTATCGGATAGGCCCTATTGGGCGTTGAAATGCGACAATTGCATCTCACCCCTCGAGGTGACTCCGGCGAACATCAATTTCGTTAAATATGCCCTGGAAAAGGTGCCCTCACGTAAATTCACGATGTGACATTAAACTATCGCAATACCGGTACCTATAGCTACAAAATTCGGTACAGTTTTCCCCATTTGGAACAGTAATTCACATTTTAACTTCGGGCATCGATTTGGCTCATTTGTCCAGATAATCCAGTCTGGCGTCGGATGTGTGATATATATATATCCTTCTAAACTCAAAACATACGAGCTGCCTTCTGTTTTCGCCCATCACGTTGCATTACTCAGAGGTTGGTTAATGAGTTAGAGAAATCTAAATTTGAATTGTTCGAATCAAGGTCTCTTCATTTAACCGCATTCCATATCCGCACACTGTCCGATCAACCAATCGTCCTTGAGTGATATCTCATTTGAGTCGGCCTTCTAACCGCAACTAGTGACATGTTTCTGCGCTCAGACTCTCCGTTATTCCGAACCATCCGCGTACTTTGACACAGAAAACTTCGATTGTTAGCGAGATGATCTGAGTCACAACAGGCTTCCTCTGTACGTGACGGTACTGCCTTTTATTTGTCGATGTGGACGGATCTAGCTGCCCCATTTGATAAATGTAATTTTCGGAATATATCCTAATTAAAACAAATTCTAGATGAATAACACGGAATAATGCCGACAAGCTATGGATGCAGATTGCTGTATTTGAGGTCGCTCATCAAACAATTTCACAAACCGTGTTCACTCCTTGCTTGCTTTCAAATTGTTCAACCGTACCTCGGAACGGTAACTGAGTTATCTGGTCGATCACATTTCCTGTACGAGAAGCCGATCGGGGTTTTCCTGATGGATCACCACTTGTGTCTATATTTCTTCACCACCTGAGTATCGATTTCAGAAGATAACAATCTACTTGTTAGTTTTTGCTAATCTCATTGCGGGGGTGATAAGCAAATGCTTTTAATTTTTTAATGAATTTTTACTCCGCGCAATGTGCCGTAGTGACTCAGGGTCAGTTTCCACTTGAACTATCTATTTTCCCTGCGCCTAAAACCACTCCGTCCTTTTCGCATTAATCATGTCACATCGCACCGTCCTGGCTTAGGGCTTTTTTCAATTCCGGATTGTTGTATTGCGAAATTTTCCCCTGATACTCAGCCGCTTTCAATTTGACACTTCTGTATTTCGAACTCAAAAACATTTTTGCGCTATCTAACAGACACCTTCCTTGCCCGTCCACCCTTCGTTCCGATCGATTTTTCTATCTCAGGAACCGGCCAACACCGATGATAGATCTCTTCCACCGTCTGGACGAGCGCAGAATCCCCGTGGGCCGTGTAACCAGATTATCGCACCGCCTACTCGTGTCTTGTTGGCCAAACCGNTCGAGCGCCGTTGTCTCTCGTCCTTCGTCACAGGTTTTCGTTAAATCTGAAACCGGCGATGTAGTCCCATCTCATCGCTCATGAGTGGTCGAACGCTTTTATCTCCATTATCACGCACACCGTTCTTGTTTGGGGCCTAGCCTTCGGTCAGTGACATTTGGATGCGCTTTTTTCTACGCACCAATCCGTTTCGGATGCCACGACATCTGCGCCACCTAAATGGCCTAGTTGTGATTTTACCTCGACCTTGCACATGGTTCAGACGAAACACAAAAATACGAAGGATGAACCAGCTCTGTGTACAGTCCTGAACAATCCGCCCAAATTCATTGCTTACCCGGATGTGCCCACCTCCCCTAATTCTGTCTGTGCGCACTCGCACGGACCCGTTCATGTGTTCACGTGATCGATTACTTTTATTTTGATTCCTTCATATTTTTTGCTTCCTGCTCTTCGTCATCGTTCCTCTGCACACCAAGTCCTATTCCTTTCCTTCTCTCTGTGCCTTTGCACTAGTTCCCCTGTGATTTCCGTCGGTCATGCAACGCGCATCTCCACCCCGTATTCCACCTCTCATTCACTTTATTTATTTTACAAATACATGAATATGCTTCCAAACATATACATACCCGGGGACAAGGAAGCGTCACCGTAACCGAAAGAGATCACCGTTTATCCAATAGACATTTATTTTCGAGGGAGTTCACCTGAGCCCATCTGCATTAGTAAATATCATTACGTTCTCCATCTGATGTTTCATACAACTTGGCTAAGTTAACCCATCTGTCGTAATATTACTTGATTTTGCAGTTGCGATATGGATCTTAGCTAGACGAAGATATATTTGCCATGCTATTACCAGAAGGATACAGGCTCGCATTTTCACGTATCGGTTGTATCTAATTGCTTGCCTCCTGCTGTAGTTCACTTTTCTATCTTGGCACGGTAGTGTTCCGGCACATTCCAACTTTCCCACCATCGCGGTATTGTTACACACACACACACTTCTGCGCTACTATCCCTGCCCTCTCCCCAACTCTTCCAGTTCTCTCGTTTATCACGCGGCGTCACAATTTTCTCTCTCACGCATTGCGCACTCGAACTCAAACGCGTTGATTCAGCCCAAAGAGAATGAGGTCACAATTTTCGAAGCCTGATTATTCCTACCTCGACGTTTAAGCAAATTGTTCATTCATGTTGTCATTCTGCCCTTACTCTCCTTTCCTTAACACATAGAGTTCTCTTTGCTCGCACCCTTCTCCTCTGTACCGCCGCGTCCCCTTGTGTTAATCAATTACCTCTTCGTTTTCGCAGTCAATTATCATGTTCAATTTTCTCCGACTCTCCCCCAACCCCATGTTCAGACTAACAAATATACTAAACAATGAAACTACTTGGATTAGTCATTTCTATAATTCTGACGGATCTATCTATGTCTTTGCAGTCACGATGATGCGTGCACCAGGGGACGTAGGCTACTGCGATTAGCGAGGTTGGTTGACCGTGACTGGATGATAGAAATTCTCAAGATTCTTTTCGAATTCGCTCACGTACAAGGAAGTCCCGAAATTGTTAATATTGGACTGAAACAGTCGGCACGCACAAAAATGTATTTTTATTTAGCCAATTGCAAGTTACCGTAATCGAAGCAGACCTTCTTTAGAAGTGTGCAACTTTGTGCTTTTTTACGGGCTTGCGATGTGGTTGTGAGACATTTTTGTAGTCGACCATGCGTCAAACACCGGTTGGCATTGAGTGAGGCCTCGGAGCAGCCACTGAGCATCGAGCACACTAGTGGGCTTATGTGCTATTTTTATCTGCACTGCCCGCGCAATGGTTTTCTCCAAAATTCCATTCGAACTTAAATGTGTACATATTTTGACAGGTTGCTCGATTCACATTATCATCCAAAATGTCCGTATCCGTGGTTTTCACCAATTAAGGCAGACTTCAAAGAACCGAAACATGTTGACTGATCAGCGAAGGTTGAACGCAAGACTTATAGATAAATTTGCAAAACTGATACCTGTTATATTCAATAAAACTTTAAATACCGGGCTCGAGTGGTGTACAAGTAAACTCTCAGTAGTATTCTTGTTCACTTATAGACATTGAAACAGAATGCGTTATAATGCTTCATCGAGCCTAACGAATCGACGATAGGAACACAAACAACTGGTGGATGAAGAAAGTAGTGTATAGACTCAAGCCAAGAGGATAAGGCCGGCAATCTATTCGAATTTTCTAATTTACTAAAGATTTCTCTTCCGACGTGCATTTTTAGATGATAGAACAGTACATCAGATTATTGAATCGACGCAATGTTTCACATAGACATAAAACGAAGAATTTCTGTATATTATGCAAACCAATTCACAAGGCTTTTGACCCAGATGATTCCGTGTACAGAGGTGCATGAACGATTCCAGTTCTAATAATTGCAATCTTTGTGTAATAACCTAACAAGAAGGACTTT